TTTACCGTACAGCTACATTAGGACCTATATGATATCATGACTCATATATTTATCCACACAGAAAATACACCATGAACCCATATTTGCAAACATTTGAGTTGGAAATAATCAAAACTAATGGCAGGCTTCCAGTATATTTTTGTTTGACATTCCATTAGTTAACTAAAATACTGTGCAGACTACGTTTTACTTGGTAGGTGACAGTCAAGAATTTCTACATTTTGTACAGAAAGAATTATGACTGAGGTTTAAAAAAAAAGATCATTGGTAGTGGGTTTTTTTTGAGGGTGAGACTGGGTAATGTTGTCTTTTGCTTTTAGGTGTATTTATATGCTTTTAGAGTATTTGTCTTATAAAATGGAATTTATGCTTTCAAATAAAGAATAAAAATAGATTTTTAGTTTTAATGAAAATTGAAAATATTTACATTAAAGTTATCTTGCACATGATATTTTATTCTCCACATCTTGAAAGCCATTTTCTCTGTGGAAAATATGATATGAAAGTGACCATATTTTCAGGTTTTATTTTGACACAGAAACTGAAATGCCAGCTTGCAAGCCCCTCTGATCTGAAATTCTGTTTCCAAAGGTGATGAGTATTGGCTGCATTACAGTATAATATGAAACTCCAGTAATGAATAATTATACAGAGATATGTACCTAAGGAAATTTCTTCCAGTGTCAGTGGCGAAGGGGCATGTCAGGTACTGAAGCGTGAGAATCAGTGTGACTTATCAATGATGACCTTTGCTGACAGATGCGTGAATAATATTTAAAGTATTCACTTTAAATGTCTGTTCTTCTGAATCTAATGATCTTGTTGGTCTTACAGACCTCTACTTTGACAGTGAGTCTCATAGTTTTAATTTTGCCTTGATTGATGCATTGATGAAAAAATAATGTCTTTTATCAAGCTAAGTAGCTATCCCTTGAATTTTATTAGCAGTGTCTGTTTTATTAGTTAAACAACAAGGAGTGCATACACTGTGAATTGGCATGTTCACATAGCCAGCCTCACTGATGTTCTTGATCTTATATGAATTTATGCCAAATGAGGTCCCAGTCCACTCTGAGCTAGAGGCACACAACCATTATGTATTGCAGGGAGCCTTTAATTATTTTTACTTTCTTTAAGTGCTGTATAACACCATTTGTAGTTTGGTATTGTGTTGTGTTTTTTTTTTGGTTTTTTTGGTTTTTTTTTTTTTGGTTTTTTTTTTTTTCCTCCCAGACTATTGCTTAGCAACAAGTGGATGCATGGATTTGTCCTCACTTTCTGAAGTTGCTTTTTGTGAGCAGCCAAAGTCAATTCAGAGACCATGAATTTTCAAACTGTTTCTTCCACAGTGTTTCATTATATTTGTTGTACTGTAACCATTACCCGGTGACTTTTCTAAGCAAAGTATTTAAAGAGCTTTCCATAATGCCTTTTATTTTGTCTGAAGTCTTTCATCAAATTCATTCTTGTATTGCTTATAAGTAGTATGAATACCCTTCTTAGCAGAGATCTTTGCATGACTGCAAGCAGTGCCTTTGTTTTGTGTTAAAAATGGATTATTTAATCCATTTCTGCTCATTCATCTCTCTAGACAAGTTTCTAAGGAGCATACCTTGCCCCCTCAAGACTCAGGATTCCCTCTAAGCTGGTTTACTTTCATTTCTTCAATAAATCCCAGAGAGGACCTTCAGCTTTCAGAAAGTTCGTATCGGTCAAGAATTGGCTTCCAGTGTAGAGGAGTTAGCTCTGCATTTAATGAGTTTGAAAATCTCAGCATGCCCATGGAGTTTTAAGGGAAACAACATATCACCATTTCTGCATGAGCAGGAGATAAAGAGCATTCTGACTGCCCAAAGATATACCTTATGAAACTTGTATTTTAAAACCTAAAAAGCAGAGAACGTCCTTTCAGATGACCTCAGGCTTTGCTATGGATCAGGTGGGCATTCAAAGCAGTTCCCCTTTCCTGCAAGTAATCAATCAGTTTTATTTGGACTGAATTTTAATCCCCTCCTGCAATCTCAAATCTTGGTTTTGTGATTATTTTCTCTACCACAAGACTTGTAATCTTTCAAAAAGTCTCCAGCTGCTTGTTTACATAGGGACTCTCAAGAAAAAGTAATCCAAATTACCTGAAGGTATGAATCCAAAGTATATTAGCTAAACTGGATTAATTCTGCATTACTTAGGAAGAGAATTCAGTAAAATGACACTAAGAACAGTTTTGTTGTGAATGAGTGTGTCCACACAGTAGTCTAATACAGTTTAAATAATGCACTTCAGAGATTTCATTTGGATGAAGTGCCTTGAGTGTCTCTCTGTGGACATGCTGCTGCAGCAGCATCAGGTCTCCAAACGTGCAGCCTGCTGCGTTGCCTGAGAAGTCTGTCGGTCCAGAGAGTCTGAATGAGAGCCAGGCCTCTGACTTGTCTTGAAAAATAAAATGTGAGAATTTTAGATCACAGGGCCAAATCAGTGTCAGCTGGCATGACTGTGGTAAGAGCAATGCTAGCCACCCAAGCTGAATGATTTTACTTATGCAGATGTGCTCATAAGAAAGCCATACTGTACATGTTTACGTTCTATTACAGCCTATATATGGTTAAAATACCCTTCTCTTTCCAGTTAAATGCTCTGGGAATTACCTGAGGCTTATTGCCTTTTTGATACCTTTCAAGATTCAGTCAAGTCTGATAGGGCTTGTAAATGATTTTCTAGCCTGCCATGGATTGATTTTTCTCTCCTTGGGGAAAAACATAAAACCCCATGAAGTTGTGAGAAGTAGTTCATTGCTTTTTCATAAATTTTGCCAGTTGCAAGCCAAAAATATAAAGCAACATTCAGGTTCTTCCATTTGAATGCAATCTCAAAGGTTATAACTGTCAAACTAGAATATAGTTCCAAGGTTTTTAAAAGGCCAGGTAACTCCAACAATATGTTTTCTTTAATAAAATGCCAGCTATGGGGTTGGTTGGGTCAAGAAGTGGTTTGTATTACACTATCAACTTTGTAAAAGGAACAGCAAATGCTGGAAAAACATTTAGTGGCAAGAGGGGTAATGGCTCTGTCATTCAGCTTTGACAATGGCTTTTAGGAAACGCATTTTCACCTGAAGATGATTCAACGAGGCCAGATGTATGACCAGAGAGGGTAGAGCTGCTGCCTATATTTAAAACTGGGCTACTGAGCTTGACCACAGAAGTAAATTTTTCATTGTGTTTGGCCAACATCTGTATTTTCAGTTGTTGCACATAGTACAGGATTTTGCTTAAAATAATTTTATAGTGAAGCTAAGACACAGAAATATTGCAGTTCGGTGAGGACAACTTTATAAAAGTGTTAATGAGATGGACAGTATGGAAGTTGAAAGCATTGAATCCTCTCAAACCATTGGAATGTTGCTAGGAAAGGGAAGAAATGGTACTTTTTACTTTTGGTTTTGACCAACACATTTTGATTGTTTTCTATGAAAAAGAAAATAGACTCTTAAAAGAGAGGGACAAGTTATGAACTGCAGTCTTTAGGCCAGTGGGAGGACAAGGAAGGTGCTACAGAAACTTCTGCATAGTAATTGTGTCAGGTCAATTTAAATTTCCTGTTGTTTTTCTTTTCTTAAAAATCATCTATCTGGAACTGCTTTGCACTTGCCATAGGCTAAAGGAGCCTGTACTGGCAGTGCACACAGCGTGCACACACCCAGCTGACATATGGCAACTTCCTACTCAGCAGTAATTTGTTTACGTCTGAGATATCTGATGCAAACACAAGGTACTTGCATACTGAAATGAGTCTGTATATATGTACATATATATGTTCAATTTTTTTTTCCCCTGACTCCTTGGGATAAAGTAATGTAATTACTTTTGTAAGTTCAGTGCTGGATAATATATTCTGATACCACTGTAATGGAGCTAAAGCTTCTTAAAATTTAGGAGGATTTAGAATTATTGGTCTTGACTGTCGTACTTCATTATAGGAGAGCTACTGTCAGCACAGACTGTTTTATACCTATCTTAAGTCACAAATTGTCTGCCAAAGCAAAAGACATGAAAGTAGCCTCATGAACTGTTACACCCATCTCTCCTTTGAGATGGTGCTCCAGCTAACCTGCTCTGTTTAAAGTGCTCATTTTACAAAAGGGAAATTGTGGGACAGCATGATGAATATTAACGTTTTCCCTGTGCACTGCAAAACACACAAATGTTGGAATGAAGCAGCTGCAACAAAGGCTGAATGTTGAATCGTGTCTCAAAATAAAACATTTTGCAAAACAAAAGTACTGAATGTTTCTGTTCCAGAAAATCTTAGCTTTTTAATCAAAGTCTATACAAACTCCAGCATTCTTATCTAAGAATACTGTAGTATTAAAAAGTGTTCATTGTTTTCCCTTCTTAGTGGTTAATGCAGCTGTAGTTGGTACGATTGTCTCCATCTTGTTGCAAAGAGCAGTATTTTCATTGGTCACCATTCAGTTTTTAGACTGGCTTATGTTTTAAGAGGTGACAGAAGTTTAAAACAGCCTAGTGCAAGGCTTCTTACACCTCTTCAAATTCACCTGGGCATTTAATACTGATTAAATAACAGGAGCTGCTTACATCCAAATGTTTCACTAGTATTCATTTTCTGGTCAGAGGCTTATGAATGAGGCACAATTCTGTGTGAACCATTTGATGATTGAACTTAATTTTAGAACAGATATTGCTATATAGCTCATTGATTTAATTAGAGGCTTTGGAGCTTTCTTGCAGGCTGAATTCTTTCACCAGATGAGATAGGGACAGACACCTGATTGTGACCCTGCTTAACGCAGATTGTGTAAATATGGAGCAACTTTGTGAAGTCAGTGGCATTAAACTAGTAATGACGAGTGAAAAACTGTTTGGGTTAATGAGGTCAAAACTGAGATCTTACCTAAATAGGAACCTGATAGATACCTTTATTCTTGGCTGCTTTTGTTGATGAATTTAGCATTGGTTTAGCTTACTTTCATTTTCCCACAGAGCTGCTCAGAAATTGAACCTGTCTTCCAAAAAGAAGAAGCACAGGCCTTCTGCTTCATCTGTTCCTGAATCCACTCTCTTCTCTACCAGCTTCAGCAGTATCCTTCAGACTTCCCCACCTCCTGCACCACCGTGTTTGTTGAGGGCAGTCAGCAAAGTGAAAGACACCCCTGGTTTGGGCAAGGTAAGCCTTGCAAGTATCACTAAAACACTTGTTTTCTTTGGGAGAAGGTTTTATCCTCATACAAAATATAAAGGAAATTGGAAGGCCATGTCCTTTCTCGGCTGGCTAAACTGCAGTTTACTCTCTGGACACATATACAAAGGCCTAGCAACTTAAGTTACTTAAGGCAAGTGAACTTCTAATGAAGTTGACTTGAAGACAGCCAGACCTCATGGTGCAGCAATAGTGCAGTTGATGGCACAGCTATGCTGCATGCACCTGCACTGAGACCATGGTGCTACAGGGTGGTGGTAAGGTCCATGGTGCTGGGGTTTCTGGAGCAGTTAGTCTCTGTGGCTGTGTTTAAACTGTGTAGCAGTAGCTTGTGGTGTCTTATTTTGGGTTCATGATTCCCTTGCTGTCCAGACTGGTGTCTTGGCTGGACACATGGTAATTTACTTCTGGCTCATGTGTCCTGGCTTTCCTCCACTACAGTCAGAACAAGGCTGGGCCACGTACTTGAACAAAGCCTATGCTGATAATGATGAATTGCTCCTTTTGCCTTCTGTTGTTTTATTTCCTCCCATTCTCCATAATCATAGCCTCTTAAAATGCTGCTTAGGCGCATACTTATAATGGAAAATGGTTGAGGCGATGGAGGAGGTGGCTATATAGTTTGCTGTTGCTTTGTTGTTTGCCTGAGTGGCCCTTCCTTTTTCCCTGTCACAAATTGAAAGCCTGGCATATTACATCTGGGAATACATGCGTGCAGTTGCTGAGGACAGCAGTTTGCTTTAATCAAGGTAGTTTCTTATGCAAGCATCTGTGTTCATGGCTTTTCCATATTCATTGAATACTAAGCAGTGACAATGAATTTGGTGAAAATCTTTTTTTTGGAGAGAAATTGCAATGTATGATTTAGGAGTGTTAAGCATAGGATAGGCTTCAGAATTTGCATTGCTGATTTTAAATGCTCACTTTCTTATATCGTGCAGTTCTGGGTGCTGTGGGATTTTTTCATTTTTAAAGAACAGTAGTACTGCTGTCATGGATGGCTTAATGCCTATTAGAAAAGGGATTCCCTCCACACTAGGCTCTCTTCCTTTCCTGTGGCCTGGTAGGTGGGAAGAAATGTACAAATCCATCATGATCTTATAAAAGTCAGTAGTGACGCGTACTCTTGTCTTTAGTGGGAGGAAGAGTAGACTTGAACCTGTTCATTGTTGTAAGAAGCTACTATTGAAAATATTTACAGTAGATGCTGTCCTCTCAGGATTCTTACTTTTCTGTGCTTGGGACAGGTTATATCTGAATAAAAATTAAAATTCCATTAAGGTATAATGAAGAGTATGTTCATGAAAACAAAGGACTAATTTCTCTTGTTGAACTGTGAGCACTTTTCCTGATGATGAGCTTTTACTCTTACCAAGAAAAGGGTCTACACGCACAGTGACACAAATATAGCTCTGTCAAAACACTGCAAGCTTGATCTGAACCTTTCTTGCTCCTCTGATCATTGATTTCCAGTGGACAGGGCTTGGAAAACAGTTTTGCAATATACCAAGACAGACCTATGATTTGCTGCTTCATCAACACCATGTCCTGGAGCAGGCTCCAGGCTTTCCAGTTGTGTAGGTAAAACTGAAATTTTGCAGTCCAGCTGACTTAGGAGGATGTTTCTTTTATTAAGTTTAGACTCTTTTAATAGTCTTTTAGTCTCTTAGATTCTTTAAAAGTCTTAGTAAGTTTAGGGGTTGGACTCGATGATCTCCAGAGGTCCCTTCCAACCCCTAACATTTTGTGATTAGACTTACCATTCCATAGTTATCAGAGTATATGAGAAATAGCTAAGAAGTTTAAAAAATATTTTAACACATGCTTCTCCAAAGCAGAAAACCAAATTAGGTTAATTCATATAGTCAAAATAGAGTGTTTTTTTTTTTTTTTTTTTTTTTTTTTTTTCCCCCACACATTTCTATTAGTGCAAATATCTCTAACCTACAGTTCCTGGAATTCTGTTTCATTTTCACCTCTTTGGTTTGTCCTAGGAGTCACCCTATATTTATGATCTAAAGCTCATATGCTTTCAACAGTTTCCCATCAGTTGACCTCTGTAGCACAATCTTTATTTTAAGATGTCAGAAATAGGTGCAAGGCATAATAAGCAAATGACTGCGAGATAACGTATTTTATCTGTCAGACTGAGAAAACTTCAGATGACGTAATGGAATTTTGGGCTTGCTTACTTTTAATTCTTATTTTTGTTATTTATACAAGTTATGTTCAGCTTAGTTGGCATATGTTTTGATAAGAACATGCGAAAAACTATATTACTTTTCTCAGCATTTTCTCTCATAAAGTGTTTTCTATAAGGGTATAAATTTATAACATGTGGATCTGTGTGGAAGAAGAAGGTTCAGGGAAGCTAAATGTTATTTTCAGTTGCTTAGGCTTTTTTTCTGGTTTGTGTTTAAATAGCATTTTACCATCAATCCCAGTGTGATAAAACTGCTTCACTTTGGATTTGAGTAGGCTGGGGAATTTCTAGTATGACAGTTTGTTACTGGAAAATCTGGTTCATCAGAACCTGGAAAGTTGGCCGTTGCCAAGGATCCTGGATTTCTGAGACTCCTGGGGACAGCTGCACACAGACTGCCCTGGGATGGGCTTCCTGGAAGGTTGTCTTTTTGTTATAGGGCTGTGAGCCCTGGCACAGACACTGGTTTGGTGTCAGTCTGAGAGCTGATGGTTTGCCAGGTTAGGTGGGTATCTGAAACACTGCAGGATAGGAAGTCAGCATCACTTCACAGCTTTTGAAAATGAACTTGCCACCTAAGAGCTGTCATTTTAAATTTTTGCTTTTACTAGAAATCTCAAAGATTCTACATCTCATTGGAAAATTGACAATGGTTTATTTAAAATTGTAGAGTTTCTCAGCTATCACATGCAGGCATGTAATTTTTGTGAGTTAAACTAGGATGTTTTGTCTAACATGTTTAAGAGTTAATTAGCAGCTCAGTTAGTATGGATATGGGTACAACTGAAGAGTCTAAACTGACAAAAAGAAGAGACTTAAAAAGTATGTGTTCAGGTTGTATGGTTCACACCTTTTCTTACAAAAGGCTTTGCAAGTCAAACTGTACCAGCCTGGAATTTGTTAGAAGTATTATTTGAAAACTAAAGTTTAGCTCCACAGAAGGAAGGAAATTATATTAATAATGAAATATAGGGACTGCATAATCACCATTTTACTTTGATGTTAGATACACCGTTGACTCTAGCAGAAGTATAGCAGTGTCGAAGTGAAATAAACAAGTAAAGTATCATGTTATTTGTTGCAGTAATTTCTAAGAAGCTCTCCCTGAAGTTAAATAAAAGGTTTGTTACCATATTGCAAATATATTAACAGTGGCGCTTGTATGGATCATAACATGCACGTGTGCTTTGGGTTTGCATTTGCTGGCAGAGAGAGCTGATCCCAGGTATCTCCTAAGAACAGAAAGTTTTCTTTTGGGCTGTGTCACAGTCCTGCTCCATAAAGTGCCACAGATTGAGCATCACTTTTCCTTCTCTCTCTGCTGTCTCTGAATCATCGTATTCTGAAAATGGCAGCTTGCTTTCGCTGGCTTTGCACACAGAGGGAGTGCTACTATCCTGAATGACTGTATGTGCAGTTGCCCCAAGTCCCATCTTCTGGAACATACTCCTGAAGCTCTTTTATTCTTTCTGTCAATGAGCCAAGAAACAGAGTAAAAAGGCTTTCCATGTAGAAATAATGACTTACACCGTGCATGCGCTCAGTTTAAGTAGTGCAAGGGCATTCTAGTAAGGTTTACTTTGATTTGCTCCCCAATCTGCTTCCCTTCTCCCCCGTCCTCCCACACTCACTCTCCCCATGTTCTGTCAAATGAAACCAAAACTTAACCAAGAGTTTTGATGAAAATACAAAATGTTCTTTCTGTGAAAGATGTTGGTGTGCTGAATTTCACATTACCCATGAAGAACAGCTTGCATGAAAAAATAATTGCCAGTCTTAATATATAGGTCGTTTTCAGATGGCATAGGTTTTAGGATGAATGGATGTGGTCTTTGTGCTTTCTTTCACTTATTATTTTTCTCCGTGTAGTCTTATAAAATTCTGTCACTGGGAGGTATTTCTTATGTTTGAGTAGAGATTAGTTTACTTTTCCTTATGTATTATTTTTTGAGTGAATTTTTGTTCGTTGGTATTTCTTAAGCTGAAAATATAGTAACAGTATATGTCTGTTAAAATAAACTTTATGCAAAATGTTTCTACCGGGGAGAAAGAAGTCACCGTTGGCCCTTCTTCCAGAAGTCCTTTCAACCTATTAGCAAAAATAGACTGTGATTTGTGACATTGTTTACTTTTTATTTTTCTGTAGACTCCTGCTTGCAAAACCCAGCCCCATTTTGCTAAATAATGTATAAATTCAGATCAACCCCACCCTGTTTCTGTACTAGAGCTCTTAGGATCTCAGTGTAGGAAGGAAAACCAGACAGAGACACAGGAAGCAAGAACAATCAATGAGATCTGTCATCTTGGTAGTGGTGTCCTCACCCCATCAGCAGACTAATATTAGATATGCCTTGTCAAGCTTTGGTAGGTGTTGTGGAAGAGGAGATAATGAAAATTTTCAAAGGGGGATTCATAGGTTACACTGCAGATGCTTCTGAGGAGCCCTTTCCAAGCATGTCTTTTGAGGGGGTGTATACCAATGCTTTGGGTTCACAAACTGCTAGTTCTTCAGCTGTCCACTGCCTTAAAATACTTTTCACTAAGTAGGGAAACAATTATTGCAGTGGCCTTGACATTCTTTAATCCGAGCTGTACCAGTGCAATGCGTGTGAGTAAGAAGTATTCTGTTGGTTGTAGCCTGTGTGATTCATGATTTGAATAGTCTTTGTCAAAAGACGTTTTCAATAGCTGCATCAACTCTTTATATTGGTGCAGTGGAAAGTTGAGACATTCTTATACTTACATGATTTACAAAGTAGATTTC